CATGTTACAATCGTTGTTGATTTGGTGTTTGTTTTTTCCTTTCCATTCAGGTAGTTGGAAGACGAATGCAATGCGAGGACCCATCGAAGTAGCTATCGGAGTCTGTGTAGGCATCGTTTGGGGTATTATCACCGGTTTTATCCCACATAAGTGCGAAGTACGTATCACAGACTTACCTTATACAATACATAATATAATAATACACAAGTCTGGATTTGAGTCATCCGGTGTCTCGGACCCTTATACGTATACGTTTACCCATATTTGCAGAAAATCGAGAAAGTCTCTTAAGGTAGTCGCATAGGTTAGACTAGGCACTAACAATTTTATTCTCCCGTTGTTGTATCGGTATTCCACTATTTAGTTTTAAAACGATGTTGTTGATCGTGTTGAGTTTTTTAACAGTTTGACACTCAAAATAGGCGTCCTATATAAGCCGCTATAAGAGCAAAAATTGTAATATTTATTTTTTGGATTCCGTGATCCATTTTGACGTATTTAACAATCCCGGACAGCATCACAGGAGAATAGAAGGATTTCATACCAAGGAGAATTTCAAATACAAATGAATATCACAAATCGTTCATGAAATCGTGACAAGCGTTTTCCTATAAAATTATGGTCCCTGAAGAAACGTATTCTACGTCAACAAAAAAAAATTCAATCATATAGGTACTCCTATGAGTGCTATTCATATCAAATGTTTGAATTGTACAATAGACTGTCATATACTCATATTGGTGTTATACTTTATATTTTTATACGTAGTTTATAGTTTATAACTACCTATAGATACCCACCAAAACTGTTAATAAGTAATAACTAATAAGTATACCGTATTATACAGTCATTAAATTAAGAAAAAATACAAAAATATAAATTTATTATGAAGTATTTAATTATTATAGTTACCCACTGATTTATTATTGACTTTATCCCCCAATTTACCTAAACTAATACCTTAATTGCCTACACTTTATTCCTATTCGATATTTTGCAAGTGTAAATTGTATCTATTGTATCTTTCAAATAATCCGAACTTTTTGAAGCTTTGTTAACTGTCACGTCAAGTCTCGTTGGGAATTGTTATCTTTTAAATTCGTAACAAACATCTGGTATACTTCCACAGTTCCACGTGTATCGAGAGTGTTGCATAGTATACCTATGGACCCCGTTGCATTTCTGGTCACCAGTGAGAATTGTACAACATACAATTGGCTTGTTAACTATGAGAACTATTAATCTAATTCCAATTACATAATTTTTATAATCCATCAGAAATACACAAATATTATTTTTTCCAAAAGCATAACAGTTAACAATGCAAACCGATTTTAGATGAAGTGTTACGGGGAGTTAACCTGAAGCTACAATGCGAGATATTCCAATTGATATTGTAAAAATAAATATTCATATTCATATTTATTTATAGATTTCGATATAAAAATAGTAGATTCATAAAACACTGAAAAATTATTTTTAATAAAATTCATAATTGTATTTTTTTTTAAATTATTATTATTTAGTCATAACAACTATATTCATTTGTACAAATTGTTGATGGTTTTTTGACTAAAAAAACATTGTGGTCTGTGGACAATAACTTTGTATAACTTTAAGTTGCCCCTCTCTTCTGAATCCGGGCTTGAATTAATAATACAGACCATTTTCCATGTGATAATAATATGCATTTATTTTTACTAAAATTATATGGATACATAAAAAATGATGAAATTCGTAAATTAAGTACTATACAATGTTTTGTTTACAGACAAGTCTGACCCTGAAACGGACGTACATAATAACGGCCGGTGGAATATTGCTCACGTTCGGGTCAAAATTGATCGATTTACCGGGTGCCGGTCCTCTGGCGATCATGACGGCGGCGTTTGTCTCTGCGATTTGCTGGAAAAAAAACGATTGTTTTAGCGTGAGTGATGAGATAATAATATTTTAACAAAAGGGGGTTCAGCATCGAGTAAAATTGAACGGGCTTGTCAAATACATTAATGATAATTTGCAATAGTTTCTAAAGTCGACGGTCGAAGGTCGACTGGAGACGCAAGATTGATTAAACGTAAATTTTGTAATGACATTAATAATGTTTTATCGTCGTAGGATAACGTGGAAATGGCGACGAACAACGTGTGGGACTTTTTGGAGCCTATGCTGTTCGCCTCGATCGGCACGGAAATCGACTTGAGCAGCATAAGACCGTCGTTAATCACTTCGGCGTCCATTCTGTTGATCATCACGTCATTGGTGAGAGTTCGGAAGGGTTTTTAGTATACATATATGCGGGTGACAGGGTACCGACAATTTCAGATAAATTTTTCTTCAAGCGCGTAAGAATGTGTTGAGTAATAAATTATAGGTGTAGAGGTTGTGTGATGAAGATGTCAACACACTGTTTTATTATTTCTCTAGCCCACGCACGACGTAGAAAAAATGCACCAGTGTGTTATATTTTATGATTTTTCAGTTACCTTAAGGTAAAATTACTTGTTTCAACATTTAGAGAAAATAGCATTTTCGAGAGTTCGACATATTATTATTAATTTTCTAAATATTGTCTCAAAACCATTTAACGTCCAAATTCAATTTACAACTGGAAAATTCATCACTCGTGACACTTCTAGAATGACATTAAATATAAATATTATGCCGCAAAAGAATTCACATTTTTTCGACTAATGGGTTTAAATGGCTTAATGTTGTATTTATTACTACGGTCGTCTACTATATGAGGTTAATGGTCATCGATGCTTACATCTGGCCACTGAATACAAATTAAGAAATAAAAAACAACGAACAATTATTTCAAAATATATGATATAAACGAGGGACAAGAAGATTCGTTTATTGGTAGCAATTTTGATGAGTAGGTACAATAAAATATTGTGTGGTTTTTACACAATGTGTCTATATTGTAATATTATGTTATAGATGACTGCACGTTTAACACATTTAATTCGAATACCTAGTTATAAGTCATAATATCGGTTGATATTGTTTGATATTTTCATAATTATTATTATCTTTCAGGTAAGAGTGGCCACGTGTTTCTTCGTCCTAAAGGATACCAATTTCAATTTACGCGAGAAAATATTTGTTAATATTGCGTGGTTACCAAAAGCAACAGTTCAAGTAAGATTTTAGAGTTTTACGACCTACCTACCTAGTTGTTTGAAATTTATCTACCGCGATCTATGGTTACGAAATAATAATAATAATAATAGGACCAACTATTCCGCTTAAATTATTAAATTTTGTTGGCACTAACCATGCACAAAATACATTTTTGAAAAATAATAATTCTCTTGCGAAGGACTACAATGACAAATAATAATTCTACAAATGATTTATTTTGAACAGGCGGCGATTGGGCCAATCGCATTGGATATGGCACGCAATCGTGATGAACGCTTAATCCCATATGCATCTGATGTATTGGCTATCAGTGTGTTAGCAATATTGATCACTGCACCGATAGGAGCAATTGCCATGACACTACGAGGAGAATACTTGTTGAAGAAACAATATTGATTAATTATTATTTATACCGAACAGAGATTCTTGTTCAAACAGTGAAATTAATAATTGATCAATATTAGTTTGTTCTATTATTAATGCTAGTCAAATTTTCATTGTTGTTACTTAAATATATAAAACTAGTTTCTTGGTTTTTTTATTTTTTCAACCGGTTCTAGCCTTTAATTTTTTGCATTTATTATAAATTATTATCTTTAAGCCTTAAGGTTAATATTTTATACATATAATGCAAAACAATTAATTCACAAAGCATTCCTTATATCCTCTTTTAAAACATTTTTTTCTTTTATATCAATCAAAATAGGTTATAGTAGCGTGGTTCAGATTTAGGATTAAAAAATGTTTTTTTCTTAAATTTGAAATATAAACTTAAACGGTTTCTATAAAAATATTATAATTGTTTTCATATTAATTAAATTATAAATTGTTAACAATAACAAAAACAATTGTTGCTTTTATTTTCAATTAAAATTGTAAATGAAAATAAAATTTGTAAATATAGCAGTAATAATATTTATATTAGTGCATTAATATACATTTAACTATAGTAGGTAGTTGCAATACTCAAAATTATAATTTTATGTTATTTACATGAGACACTTTAAATACAATATTGCTAACTTTAGTCTTCCTTATACATTTATTTTCAGTACTCAGTTCTTAAGCTTATTTATAAAACTATGATTTTGGTCTTTACTAAGACATATTCAAATATGCCTAATAAATATAGAATATTCAAATTAATATCGATTTAGGTATAACATTTTTATATTAAAAAGTATTTTATTTTTTCAAAATTACTCAAAGATCTGTTTAAGACTCATTGATCTCTTTCCGCTTAATAATCATTGTTTCCTTGTTATATCAGATACACTTTAGTTTTAATCTTAATTTTATACTTTGTTTATTTATAATATTACTAGTTTAATAAAATAATTTTTAGACAATTTGAATAATAAAAATAGCAGTTAGCATATTTATAATTGAAAAAGTTGGTTTTAAAATTATAAAACATCTCAAATAAATCCATTTTTGTACACAATAATAATAACAAAATTATATCACATCTATTTTAACAACATAATATATTATTTTGTGTTATAAAAATACTATATATCCTTGCTACATTTCAGGAAATTTAATTATAAAACAGTACACGGAGTGATACTATTGGATTTATCCTCTAACCATGTTTATTTATGTTTAAGTCTTAAATTATTTGTGCTTGTTGCTCTGAAAGAGTGTAGAATGTATAATTATGATTGTAAATTAAATAAAAATAAAAACATACAAAATATAATATGTATAAATATAAGAGAACATATTAAATTATTAATAGTAACTTTATTCAAATGTTTTATGTCAGTTGAATCATTTGTATTTATAATTATGTACACTAAGGGTTATTTCAATAACCTAATCTTATTTTTTCTTAATAAGTAACAAACCTTTTTTTTTAACAATTAAAATCCATATTTAGCTTGTGTTTGCTTCCTTGTCATTCTATTCTCAGCCCACATGTTTTTAAGTTTCAACTCATTGGCTTTAGCCTGTAAAAATGTATAAATCATATTAAATATTAATATTTAATTTATAACGGGTAGTTAATGTAATATACATCTACGTTTTTTCATCATTACCTGTTGAGCTAAATATGTTATCTGGTGTTTGCGTTTGGATTGTCCACTTATATTAATATCACTACTGACATTTTTACTTTCCGCATACTCCTCTGTCATGTTCTTTTGTAACCACTGTTGAGACTCTTCCATTACTTGACGCATATCTACATTTATTACTTCAACTTGTTTTATTTGAGTCTTGCTAGGATCACTAAGTTGTTTCAACTATTATAAAAAATAAAATAAAAGGAAATATATAATACGTTCACATATATGTTGATTTCAATATTAATTTTTATAAGAATTTAATGAACATTAAACATACAGCATTTGAGTCGAGAATTAGTTTTGTTTCATCTTCTTCATAAAGGTCAGATTCATTGGGTTCAGAACAATACACTGGTCCATAAACCCTGTCGTCTTCAACTAAAGTTGTATTAGTTTGTATTTCGGGTAAATCAAACCCAGCAACAGGCGCTACATCAAGTACTTCATTTATTTTGTTCAATCCTAAGAAATCGCCATCGTCTTGATCATCATCATCAGCTTCATCTTCAACTTCAATTGGCTTAGTATCAAAACATTTAATTTCTAATGTTTTGGGTTTAGGGTTTTCTTTAACATTCTTAATATTACGCATTGTCGCCCTGGGAACCATTGATATGGTTGACGCTTTGCTGGTTTTTTTATTTTTTGGATCAGGCAACATGGAGAATAAGCCACATCCGCTCTGTGAAACCACAAAACATATTTATTCAGAATTGTAAATGCAATAGTGTAAGACTAGTTCATGACAATATTAAAACGAACATAATGCATATATTGAAAAATACAATATTTAACTTTGATAATTTCAAATTTTGGTAATTCAATGACTTTCCAAGCCTTGCAATATTTTAACAATTTATTTTATTATTATAGAGGTGACATCATTTGAAAACAGTTGTATGAATTACATAATATTAAAATATTAATGTGTAAACTATATATATTTTAAAGATAACTAAAGTATCATATTTTCTTTATTTTAAAATAAATATTTAAACATAAGATGTTTTAATGAAAAATTAAATCAAAATTAGGATATCAAGAATATATGATTTAAAATATCAGTTATTATAATATGCAATTTAAAACCGTTATCAACAAAAATATGAAATATACGTACCTAAATAATAAAAGCACATTATATATTATTCAATAGGTGAATAATTTAGGTTTAATAAATTTGTTAGGCTAAACTACTAAATTGTACACTAATTGCAAGATATTATTTTAAACATTAATTAAAATGTATGAGCTTTCAAATCTTAGTATAACATCCTTAGAAAATGTTTCAAATTACAACTATGATTTAAATAAAGCAAAATTTAAGTATTTTAATAATTTATTAATAAAACAAATTTATCTAAAATTGTTAAAATTTAAAGGTTAAGTTATCACTTCATATATTATACATAAACAATTGAAACTTACATTTGAAGGTTTGATAATTTTACATTTTGGTTGATAGTCGTCATCTTCATCATAAAACTACAAAAATTAAAGATTAATTATAATCACATCAACTAGATAAGTGAAGTTCTAAGGCAAGAATATATACTTCATTTAATGAAGGAATTATTATTTTGATTTTTCCTCCAGTTTTAGGTTTAGGTAATGTGGGGAATAAAGGGATTTCTTTTTTTTCTTGAATGCTATTAACGATCGGTGGTTTTGTTTGATCCACCAGTTTTTCTTCTTCAACTGAATCATAATCATCTATTGTTTTTACGTTTTCAATAGATTTGGGTTCAGGCAGTGTTAAAAATGGTTTACTACCAATTGTTTTTGTCACTTCTTTTACAACATTAGATGATGAATTTATTACTTCACCATTATCGTCATCCGAATCGCAATCACTGTCTGCGTACGCCACAAGTGACATTATACTAATAAATTAAAACCAAATAAATATCTTCATGTTTATTTTAACGCAAAACTAAAATCAAATAGGTACTCACTTAATTTTATTTGAACGTCCACTGTAAAGTTTAGAAAAATTGTAGATATATTTTTATGGTGTTGAGGTATTATGACTTAGTCCCACTTGTAATCACTATGATGTAACCTAAGTTTCAACTGTTCCGGTACTATTTTGATTGATTAAATAGGTGTTGAATAATTAATATTTAACATCATATTATTGTTATTTTAATAAGTGAATATATTAATGTTTTACTGTTTGAGTCTTGTGTTTTACTGTTTTCCACTATTTATTTTTCAACTAAAAACTAAAAAGTGATTGTAAAAAATAACATTGATAAATGATAATTGTATTAGTTAATTCAGTGTCACCAATCTAACTTATAGATAATACTATATTTTTACTCTTATCTTTAATACTGTTATCATTTATCATGTTACTAAAAAAATTGATAGCTCTTGAACACAGATTTAGCTGGTAGGCACGTCATATTGTAGCACGATTATAGATATCTAAATTATATTATATCTATAATCGTGTATTGTAGTATAGAAGTCTGAGCTCTTGAACCACAAAAATACTACGAAATACAGATTTATAGATAAAATCGTGGAAGGTATGTGGAAAAAAGATCCCTAAAAAGATTATCTTCAATTTTATAAATTTGATTAGAATCTTAAGTGTTAATCTCTAATGGTTATTGGTAAATGGTAAGGCCGTAAGGGTATTTTTTTTCCTAGATTCCTTTGAAACGACTTTTAGAATATCTTCTGAGACCGCGGTTTCTCGGTTCTCCAATAACTCCTATAATGCTTGTACCTAGTTGATAAACGCTAAATAATTTAATAATCCATTCTGAAAAATAACAATGATTATAATATAATATGTATCATTGTAGAATGCAGCTTTTTTTCTAACAACAGGATCAGTAGGTAAGTAACAATAATTGAATAATTTAATATAATTTCACATAGGTGCAAATGGGCATACGTCTGTCTTTATCCTCATATAATAAGGACCCAGATTTTAAATTATTTCGATTTATAATTTTCTATGCAATTTAAGAAGTGTCTGTAAATTGTTAGACTCATGATTTTTTTTTTAAAAGTTTGTGCATCTAAAATAACATTTTAATAAGTACCTAGTTTCGTATAGTTATTCAAAGCCATAAAAGGTTTATACCAAGGATTTAAGTAATTAAAAATTGTTTTACAAATATATAGTTAAAGTATGTATAGTTAATAGTTCATCTCGGATCTTGTATTTATTAAACTCGGCTAATTTTTACAAATTATTAAATGTTGATACACAACTGTTTATAAATAACTAAAATTCTCAAATCATCATAGCCCCCATAAATACATCCCTATTATCCTTATGGCACGGAAAGTAATAAATTAATGATAACTCAAAAACTAGTAGTTTATAATATTCTAATTTTCCACATTTTTTAATGAACAAACAATAATAAATAAGTAAAGTAATCTTAATATTTATGTTGAATAAATAAATAAATACATATTGCCATACTTATACATCAAAACATTAAAACTTAAATCTTCATAACACGTTGTAATTATTAACTGTTATACCTAATAAACATTTAAAATAATCTTATACAATATTTAGATTCATTAGTTTACCCAATAAATGACATATATTTGAGACTATATACAAAAAAACATACCACCCTAAATTATATAGACAATAGTTACCATAGACATATTAATATTTATAGACATAATATTATTTTATTAATATGTCTATGATAGTTACCTACTTCTATTCGATACCTACTTAATAGTTAATACTTATATATATATAGTTGTATTTATACATTCAGTAATATTAACATCTTATTTCTCTTACAGGTTTGTCTTACATTTCAATTGGCGCCAAATCCTTTATAAATGAGGTCGCATAGAGTCGCAGTTTACTAGTGTCGAGACGTAACGTATTAAATAGTAGATAATAGATAACACAATAATATCTATCTCCCAAGTTAAATTATGTTGTTTTAAATATAGTTTATCTTTATTATCGTTCATGTCGACTAGTATGACAGTCGGTAGACGTCGGTACTCGTATACTCAGTGTAGAAACACCTACCGTTAATAATAATAAATAATTAAAAAATGGATCTAAAAATATAAATCTTAACAACGAGAAAGTACCTACGATAAAAATATCAAACGGGATAATACTATAGGCTAATCAGAATTGAAATATAATATGATATGCTAACAACGTAGTTATAAGAAATCTAGTTTTAAATGTAAGTACTAAGTAGTAAGTAGGCAAGTTTCGCACCTACTCGATTTCATGGTGAGAGTAAAATGTTAATACTAAATTTATCTCTAAATATATATAGGTACATAACACGGTGGGCAGTATTATACCCAAAATATATTATGTTGGTGTACAATGTGTCTAAAGTTGTTCGAAGATGTGTCGAATTAATCAACAGAATAAATTTCACTTAATTTAAATATTAATGCGCGTTTTGTAAGACAATATTGTAATACTATGACGCGCTTAAAAGAAAAAAGAAAACGAAAAAATGACGGCGGCGGCGACGATGACGACGACGACGACGACTTTAACTCTCCTCCTGCTCTTCTCGATATTAATTCATGTTGGGCAAGTATATTGTCTTTATTATGCTAGTGTTTTACGTCATGAACTCAAAATCGTGAATGTCTTCTTGTACGGCGATGTGCCTATAGATGTTGAGCATGGCTCCGAAGACGTCTTTGGGTTGTGACCCTCCTTCGCTGTCATTCCCGGTAATGTAATTGTACATGCCCGACAGCAATCCACCGAAAGCGGTCACAATGTCGGGTACGTTGAACGTGATCGGGAAAATGGGAACGGCTTCGACAAAGTTGCCCACTGCCGAGTAGAAAATTCTAGCCAGTTGTGGTCCGTCTGTCCTGTTTCAAAACATTAAAAAACAAAATAATAATAATGATGATGATAATAAACTCGTGTCATTTTTTTTTTACCTCTCCATTAAACATAAATAATTTCAGGAAAAATATTTTTTTTTTACAAAAACGTTGACGAGTAGGTAGGTACCTATAAAAATAACTAGTTTTGAACTAATGGTTGTTATATTTATTTTAATGTTTAACGGTTAGATGATGAGCGGAGTCGCAGTGGTGCACAGTAGTTTTGACCCCCCCCCCCCAATATTAACCAATTAATATTCCCACCAAAATTGAAATTACGGTTGAAAATCCACCGTTTTTACAACTTCAAAAGGTGATAAGTGATAATAGACACAAAAAGAAAACACACACCCACGCATCACCCATCATCATTCTAAAATAAATCATACATCCATCGCTCCGCTCTCAATCTAAAAGCTTCGAGTATTTGATGTACTTACGTCAATATTTTCATGAAAATAATATTCCATTTCAGAAGATAAAAAATACAGCATACGAAGTAGGTATTTAAAAAAGTAATTAAAAAAGTTTAAAAACCATCTAAATATAAAAACAATTGATTATTTGAAAAAAAGTATATTGTATATGCACATTGACATTGCATCTACTTTAAAGGTTTTTTTTCAAAAAAAGACACGAAAATCGATTGGGACTTGCTACCCTTATGTTTAAAGTTTTATGTTATGATTGTATTTTAAGAATAATAATACTTTTTCATAGTCATTTTTTATTTGGTACTTTTATTATTTAACAATCAGTTTTACTACATTATGTACAGTGTACCTATACATACATAATAATTTGTACATTTTATATACATATAATTATTTTAGATATTTTTACTTACGCTGTCTCTTTCAAATCTGCAATCGGTACTGCCGGAATCACTCCCGTGTCTCTCAATAGAGCCGAAATTCCAGCGTTAGTTTGCAATATGTTCAGGCAAAAGAACGTGAAAATCACCAACTGAAAATAAAAGTTGTATTTTAAATTATTTTAAATACCACTTTAAGAAAAAAATATTTATGATCATATGGGAACATGCGTACATGAACCAAATTTTATTTTCAAAAGTTAAAATGTGATAAGCTTTTGGGTATATAGTAATCTCTTTCATAAGCACAGTGAGCCAGTCTAAAATATTTATTTGATTGTTCAACAAGATTCTGTCTTCTCTCTTCCATTTGTAGGACCGGATCTATTTCTTTCTAATAATAATTTAAAATAAGCTGAACAGATAATTATGTTTTTAATGATGTCCAGTAGGATAGTATGGAGGATGATGTTCCTATAATAATAATTATTGATAAACATAATAGAGTAATGGGTGTGATACTGTGATGAGTTACACGCTATATAACTACCGTAATAATAGAAATAAATAATAACACCTAAACACTAACAAGCAAAAAAACTAATAATACAACATATTTGTCCTTATTATAATAGGTATATTAATATATCATACTATTATATTATTAGTGGCTTTTTATTAGCATTCTAACGTTCTGTTAAAATTATCCACCGACTATAATTATTATATGTCATTACACGATATAGTAGTTCGTATTTATGTATGTGTTTTCTTTTATTATTAGGTATAGTAATGGTAAGTAAATATATTTGTAACTACATATACACATATTGTGTTATTTATTAAATCATTTTCTAACCAGTTTCCAGTTATATAAGTATATCCGGTGAAAAATTGTGCTTAAAACATTAAGTATAACAACACATAGTTATAAAAATACCCTACCTTGTTCCATTTATAAGTTGGAATTTAAAAAATGAAATCAAGTGTTCAGTTGAAATACATCCAGGTATATCATTATTCATTATATTTGATAAAACTAAATTAGTTAGTTACCTATATTTCAACGAAGACATTTTTTGTTAAAACAATTTATACAGTTCCATCCAAATGCATTGAAATAACATATTATCCAATATCAAATATTTAAATAAATTGATAGGTACTTATTTATATTGATTAATGTTAAATGTACATAGTTGTTTGAAACATAAACATTAGGTACAATAGAAACCCATTATCCGAGTGTAAAGAAGATTCATTTTACAGTGATTTTTAAATAACTCCTTAGGCCATGATGATTATTTCTTTAATGCTATTTCGTATGGCTGAACATATACTATATTATATCGTTGAACATAAAAGTAATTTATTATTATAGATAAAAGAGATGTTCAAATATTATTCATTTCTCCAAACGCATCTACAACTTACAAGCACGGGAAATAGAACCGGTTTTCGTGCATCGTTTGATTCGGTTTAAGTGGAAAATCCTAGAAAGTGGAAATGTCACGACGACTACCGATGAGACTAGTAAGTAGCAACACTTTATGTGTTACCTATGCACAGGCGATTGTCCGCGAGGCTGCAGTGATCACGATTTAATAATTTAAGTAGAATATAACATCCTTAAAGGAGTTTTTTTCCATACGAGAAAAACAGTCGTATTGCACTTTGAACTACCTATTGAGTTTATGGCCAAGTATTTTTCTCATTAAAATCAATTAAATTCTAAAACTGGTTTGTTAGTATTGTTCACCGGGCTTTGATTACATTATTCAAGCCGTTTGCTTTATTAATCTTAAATTGCCAAAACTCTCTGGTGTTATCACAACTGTTATTATTTATATTCTCTTACTGAAGTCACGACTGTAGATAGCATCAACAGCCTTGATTGAAAGTATACATTTCATGATAAATCCCCACTCGATTTAACACGATAATATTAAAATATTTAAGCTCTTACTTTTAAATAATAATTATCGTTATAATGCGAGTAGATGGGGGTAATACAATTAATTATTATTGATATATTTAATTAATATACCAATTCGGGTACGGCTTTCGTAAGTAGGTAAACCTTGTACCTCTACTCAGGAGTTTTATTATTCTAATAAAATGTTATCGTATTCTTTTATATCCTGTATTCGACAACGATTTATTATAATAAATACCATTCAGGGTTATTAGGCCAATGCCACGAGCGTAAAATTGTTTATGTTCACCAAATTTGTTTACGATCTTTGTATTTACAATCGTTCTACTCTACAACTGATCTGATATATAACTTTATAAGATGTTATTTTTATTCACACATACGATGTGCTTTCATCGCATTCATCATACCTATGTATAACAAAGATACCGGATCTATTTTGTATTTAAATTTCTATTACAATCAGAAACCAGTTTAAATTAAATAAAACGTAATAAGCTATAATAAAATATACCTAATATATTAGGTATATTGCTATTTAATGGTAAAGTATAAAACCCACGAAACACTATTTTAGTAGGAACTCATAATTTCGACAAATAATTTTTTAATCTGACTTTAGATTTTAAAATTAAATCGTTGTTTAATAAATGTAACATTTCGAATGGTTATAAGTACACGTTTTATTGCAAAATTATTGCTTTACACTAATAATTGTACAATCGTTATTTCGTATCCTAAGCGCGGCGTCGTGTAATGAGAAAATATCTACCTACATAATTTAATTTTCTTTTTAACTACATATTTTTTTTTCGGTCAAGTCATTTTTTTTCATTATAAGGTATTTAAATATTTATATAGGTAACATATAACTGTGTACAACGTTAAGTATCTTTAAAATACAACTTATATTGAAAAATTGTGTAAAAAATCTTGTGTGATATATTAAAATGAAAACCTAGTTATGACAAGAGATAGATTTCATGGTTCTGACACATTTATATAATACATAGTTTATGAGTTATAACTTATAAGTATTTTAAGTTTAGACGAACGGAGTAGAATTGCACAGAGGTAATTCTTAAAATACTGGTCCACAACTCCGCTTATCCGAACTTTAGATCCAATATTATAACTAAACCAGCAGATCCCGTGCACTTTGTTGCCCGTTAAAAATTCCAACTCTATATGAGACTCGGTGGTGATAATTCGAGCAGTATATTATGCCTACCTGCTGTGTATAATAGACAATTATTATTTAATAATATGTTTTATATTTATTTTGATTGCGGATACGCTGTTGAGCGGCTATAAGTGCAACTCAGCTACCTTGGTAGGCAATGTGCGAAAATTTAATTGTATGCATGCTTTTACCTGATCTGCCCGATGAACAACTACAGGCAACCACTAAACAAAAAAAAATAACCATTTCTACTAAATATATTTATATTTCTCCTATAACCAATAGGAACCGTATATAAACAAATATTTTCTTCGTAAATCTTAAAATCTCTTTTTGAGCAACTCCCCGGGTCGGACCTATCGGGTACAATTGTGAATCTAAACCATCCAGGACACTGTCCTGTTAAATTAGTAAAATAAAATAAAATTGTACTCACGCAATTTTTCTGGTAACGCCAAAAACGAAAAATGGAAAATGAAGTAATAATCGAATAATCATATTTCATACCTATAGATAAAACCTAAATTTTATCTCTACTATCTATGTAAAGAGAATATTGCGACTATAAATAAAATCGAACGGAATAAAAACGATACGAAAATTATCACTTTACAAAGTTTAAACTTTACTTTATATAGTGAAACATAATATTAATACCTAATATTCAATACACGATATATTTCTCCATGTTGATCCATTTTTTTGGTGTTGGCCAGGGGCCCCATTTTAACAATTAATTATGTCATATGAACAATTGTATAAGCTAAAGCTTGCTGTAGCTTTTACAATTCGAAAAAACATTCAGGAACTCAAAACATAAATCATCAAAAACATTTAAAAAAAAAAAATTTAAAAAAAGGGTTTTTCAAAATTTTTTTCGTAAAAATCTTTTCCTAGTGATTACGAATAGTTAAAAAAAAAATTGAGCCAAATCGGCCCAGCCGTTCTCAATTGATGAATTGTTATACATTTTTGGCTCCATTTTTATGTATAATATGATAACTATAACTTCCGAATTTTGATTTTATATTTCGATATACTCTGCTATAATATACTGCTTTGGAATATCAAATTTAAAAAAACACGTTGTCGCTCAAAAAAGTAAAAACTTTAAAAATATAACGATAAAAATAAGTGGTAGAAAATATAACTTTTGTTTGGTACACTATATAACAGAAAATTGTTTTTATGAGACATATTAACATATTTATAGCCCTCCCTCCACTGGAAATTTCTGTTTCGTGAGTGCGTAGGTAGAGCATCACGTAAATATTTAGTTTTATTAATTGTCTTCTACGTCCTTACGGTAAATGAGAATTTTATCAGACAGAAAAATCAAGGTTTATGTTGAATCTTCTTTACTGTTTAATCTCATGTAAATATCTCTAAGTATTTTATTAAATATAAGAAAAATGTTAACAATAATTTTATTCAATTAATCATACAGTGCTGTGTTTTATTTTATCTTGAAACTGTTGAGGAACGCCCCCGTATTCCACTTTCCATAATTGAAAGTTGTTGGAATATTTTTGTATCGGCCATAATATTAAGGCTTTACATTTACAACTTACAATTCAAATCAGCTCATTTTATTTATAAATAAAAATAATCCTGTTTTCAATTTATTTAAGTGTATAAAAATGCGGAGAAACCAGATTCAAAAAAACTTGATATTTTTTTGGTTGCAGGGAAAAACAATGAATCATAGAAATGTTTTACGGATCCTCATAATAAAAATATGTTTTTTTTTTAAAAAACGAGATTGCTATCATGTCAAAGTACTTAATCATAATAGTATGCCAGGGGCAAACCTAGGTCCTCTAACTTGATATCGGTCAGAAAAAAAGTTGTTACCAGCCCAAAAATATGTCCGTGTTAAGATGACACCAATATAATGTGGTAGCTACGACATACTAATATTAAAAAGATCCTAAATATTATTTTTAATTATATCATGTCTAGAAAAAGCAAATAGATATATTTCCTGAAAATGTAAAGTATCTACAGTTATTTCTTTTTGAATCAATTCAAAACAAAATTGATTTTGTCAACCGGCATTGAGTAAATATTCTCGTTTTTAGAATTTTTTTTTAGTTTTTTCCTAATTATTTTGTAAACAACCATCAATTTTTCTACTTTTGATCAAACCTCCTTCCTTCTCCCTACCAATGTAGTAACGACATCAAACAAAAATAATGAAAATTATTAAAGAAGTTTTTTCCAGCCTAAAGTCAAATGTGATAACAGACACAAAAAACTCTTTTATATTAGAAGTAGCATGCTGCAACATATTTTTCCTCTGCAAGTTAATTTGATAAATCTAAGATATTAAGTTTTTGGATACATATAGTGCAGTAGAAAAATTTCTTATGACATGCTGAATTAATTTTGTTATGAACTTAATTTAATTTTTTTTTTATTATTTCTATCGATTTCCATTTCTGTGGCAATAAACAAAGTGTTGCAAAAATCAGCCTCTTAAAAATCGACAAAAAAAAAGTTGTGTCCAGCCCAAAAACATAACTATGTTAAAAATATAACCAACAATCAGGCTAAATAAATTTAGAACCTCATCATAAGATTGTTATGTTTTTATCTCTCCTACTAGTTATGGATATTTTCTTTTACAGTTAATCAGTATAATATTTCATAATATTATGTTGTACCACCATTTAATTGATTAAAACGTATAATAATAATTTATGTGGCTCAAGGCTTTATCGTGTTTTCCCAGGGGAATTTTATCTCATCTCTCGAGACACTCGGAGATTTATGATGGATTAATACTTCCTGAGTCACAGCTTATGTTTACCTTATGGTCTAGGAGAAAGTTTTAAATTGTTGTAATTGGAATTCAAAACGAAAAAATAACGAATGACAATGTTTATTGTGTTTTAGACCCTCGTCGTGTTTCCTCCTTTTATTTACATATAGCTAAATGCATATTTTATTTGCAGAAGTGATCATACTGAATGGAATGTAATGTACACAATAAAATAGCATTGTAGGACTCCTCGAAGTATTGACATCACGATATTTACTAAGTGTATGAAATACTAAGATACATCCAGTATTGTATAATTAAAAATTTCTTGATAAATAATTATTTCAGACTCCCGTTAGATATATTTATTGGTAACACATTAATCTCTCACCAACCGGAAAGGGAAGGACAAGGTTGCCGGGTCAGCTGGTTAGCTATACATTTATAATATATAACCAACATTTAATGGATCATCCTGGTATAATAAACAATTATATGGATTAGGTACAATCCAAACTACTAGTATCTGTCTAACTATCTAACTGTCTGACTTACAAGCCAAATAAAATTATAGTAGGCACAACCAAAGAATCCAGAATACAAACTAGGTATGGATTTTAATAGTTACAGACATTAATTATTCACGAACAATGGTTTTTATTTGATGTTTAGCTGAATTATATTTTCAACCTATTTCCTAAAAAATGTTACCTTTTCTAAGGTGCGTTTGACATTTTTTAAAATTAAGATAATATATTATATATGTTTTTTTAAACTTATTAGCTTATATAATTTTACGTCTTGTGTTTTAGAATTTCGGTTTTAAAAATGCATAATAAGTATAAATAAAATCTGAAACATTCATAACTAAAAAAAAAAATATGTTTGAAATGTTTTGATTAATAAATTAATATTTACTGTATTAATTACAAGGAATGCACATTATTATCAATATTAGTAAAATTACCTTTTCTATATTGTATCAATAAAATTTCAAACACACCTATAAACTTAAATTCAATTTTATTGTATCGATAATACAAAAATACGGTAGATGTAGCATAATATAATTTATAGGTTAGGTATTTTTGAAAATATTCTTGTTTCGAATTTGATAATTTAAATTTTAAATATCTAAGGTGGAAAATTACTTTTTAAAATAAAATAAATGTTGTACTTTTTAATTAGATTCATTGCTTTTTGTATAATATGAATAAATTTAGCTCATTTGTGTATATTAAATCATTTCTATTTAGTATTGATTAATTAATATAAGTTATCATATTCCAAAAAATAATATTGAGCGTAAGGTATTACCTAAAAAAGAAATCATAGGTAAATTATTTTAAATCTGTATTAAATAAATATTATATTTTTTTATAATATAAGTACATAGATATCTCTTAAAATTAAATAGTCTACATAATAAAAAATGCATTAAATCTCGATGAGTTAAGAATATATTAAAAATAAATAAATATTACTCACACAATAGTAAAGATTGTTTATCCCGTGTCCGTTCATTATGTGTTTTTATGAGGTTAATTAATTTTTTATGATTTGTGTTTAATTTTAATAATTATTTTTAAATATTTCCTGGACGACGTAAACAATAACTTAAACATGCATTTAGACTTGTTTCAATTAAAGTAATTCATAGACGTGGTATCACGATCGCACGAGAGTCGCGTGTAGACTGAAAGGACTTTCTTTTTCAAATATATTCAGTGTGGAGATTATAGCTATCGCCGGAGCAGGTTTCAGAAAAGGGAAGTCGTATGTGAAAAGTACGTCCAACATAAAATATAAAAAAAATACTAAAGACTTCAAAATACAAATAACTATTCAGTATTTTCATTCTTACAGGGAACAAACAGTACGATATGAGTTTAGAAAATTCCAATGCAAATTTGAAATCACATTTGACACATATAAACGCATGACGTTAATTTATTATATATTAAAGTGTTATTGGTACTTACATGGCGTTAGTGAAATCGTCACGTTTTTACCGTTATTGACATAATATATATTTATATAGTATAAATAAATAATAATTTAAAATACATTTAACTCGATATTAAATAAGAAATTATTAATATTCACGTGTGTTATTAACACGTTCGTAATTCGTATAAATATTTTTTTTTGTCTTACATTATAATATAATTTCAGTTATTCAATATTCGTCAGGATGAAAAGCTGCATACAAACGTGGGAATAACAACTGTTTTAGACGTAAGATAGGTGACTTGGGTCCTCTTGTAGTTTCTTCGTAAGGTAACTGAGTATTCGGTATGTAATATGCGGGAACTGGCGGATTATAAACAGGTGGGTTATACGGTGGTAAGGTTGTAGGTTTCTTGTAAAAATAAAGAACGGTAGAACCAAGAGCTGGCTGAGCTACTAAGTTCAACGGAGGAGCTTCAGTAGGTCCGTATCCCGATATAGGCTTTGGATCACTTGCTGTTGAACTTTGTTTGGGGGGACAAGGTGTTGTTTGAGTTGTTGCTTCGGGACACTTAGGTTTAGGAGTGGTCACTTCTGGACATTTAGGTTTTGGAGTGGTTACTTCTGGACAGTTCGGTTTTGGAGTAGTCACTTCCGGACAATTAGGTTTTGGAGTGGTAACTTCCGGACATTTAGGTTTTGGAGTGGTTACTTCTGGACAGTTCGGTTTTGGAGTTGTCACTTCCGGGCAGTTGGGTTTCGGAGTTGTGGTTTCTGGACACTTTGGTCTAGGAGTGGTCACTTCCGGACAATTAGGTTTCGGAGTTGTTACTTCCGGACAATTCGGTTTCGGAGTAGTAACTTCTGGACATTTTGGTCTCGGCGTGGTGACTTCCTCACAGTTAGGTTTTGGGGTGGTGACTTCAACACAGTTAGGTTTTGGGGTAGTAACTTCCGGACAGTTAGGTTTCGGTGTAGTTACTTCAGGACATTTCGGACTTGTTGTAGTTATATCTTCCGGGCAATTGGGTTTCGATGTTGTTGGCGCTATTATATAATTGTCAGGTTTGTCTGGATATGAATTTTGATCGGAAGAAACGTTTTCATTTTCCAACGGTACTGGAATGATCACTATCGTGCTCGTGCCGTTACATGGAAGTATTATCTGTGTATTATTCGACGATTCTAGAGGGTACGCGCCATCGTCTTCCGGATTATTGATACCGGGTCTCAAGTCATTTAAGTACTCTGGTGGATTGTATACGGAAAAATAGTTTTGTATGCGCTGAATAAAACGTTCGATTGGCGTCGGAAACTTGCCCTTGAACTTGTTTGGAGAATTTGGATCCAACCGTATCAACGTCGGAGGGGTGTCTTGTTTGCCAGTCTTAATGTTATCCGGCGGAAGTGCTACATATATTTCCGTTTCAACTGATTTTTTTGGTCTGAAAATTAATACACCGTTGAATTAATTATCAATGCTATTAAATTAATCACTGTTAGCTTAAAGTGATACAATTATCCCGATTCCTATACATAAAATTCAGAGCTGTGGTACAAACTTATAAAACCCGATTTACTCTTTTTTATAACATGATAATCCGCGTGTATATACATGTACATACATGTATACATCTGAGATTTATAATTGATTGTGTTCGAAATTCCTAATCTAAAAGCCGAAAAAAATAGATGTTCTTTCTCTAGAAATATTTATAGTTACAGTCAGTCAATTATATACACGTGTAATAATGAAGAGGTTCACCTTGATCTGCCAGGATCGTTCTTGCTGAGTACATTGACGTGGTTTGCGATGCTGGATTGTTCGTAACACACTACAAAAACCACAAGAACCTAAATGTGTATGTATAAAAAAGTATGCAATTAGTAAACATGATCACCGTTTTATTTAATTGTATTTTACATTCAACATTAACCAGATCTGAGAGTTACATTGTATTGTAATAATAACATTTTGATTTACATTTTATAATTTACTGGGTGTTTCACGAATATTCAACTAATTAAACATGGCGTGAAAACTGCAGTGCTTACATTGTTATGTTACTTAATTTTGTAAATCTTTATGGGATATTATACTGAGTGTGCCTCTGTATTACGGTTTAGAGTCAACGTACGTTGAAATAAAAAAATACTTACAGCTATAAGAATCTGTTATACAACACGTATGCAATTTTATATCGGTCTGCGTAATATATAGGAATTGGAGTTAAACGGCAAAAATAAAAATAAAGTATTAATTTTTTATATTATTTACATACTTATTATACGATTTTAGAAAAATATCTAGTATATTAATCTATAGGAATATTTTAAGTGGCCAATAATTAATACCAATGTGTAAATGCATAGGTACCTAATAAATTAATATTGGCAATAATTGCAATGCTTTCAATAACACTATAATTTTAGGCTGGTACCTAATTAAGTACCTACGAATATAAATTGATATCTGATAAGCACCATTATTCATTATTGAGAAAAGCAAATATTATACCTGAAAATAAATTTATATTTTATATTAACTATTTCTACATCATTACTATATATTATGCACCAAAATCTATGTCTAGAAATAGAAGGTGTTCATAAATCAAACATGATTTAAGCATAATAAATTATATTTTGAGAAGTACAACACTATAAATTATGATACATTATATTTTAAAGTCCGTAAATAAGAAAAATTTTAGTAGATATTATTATATTATTATGAGTTATTAAATTGTTAACATCGAAATACAAAACAATTATTTATAATATGCAGTTTAAATTCAAATTAATTAAAAATATTTTATACTCTTATAAGAAACTTTTTCTGCCGGTTTCCTAATTGATACACCTTTTGTTTACTCATTACCTACCTAGTTTCAATAATTATCATCTGTGTTACACTCCACACACAACTAGAAAAACTATGATATCGTAAATTACATTTAGAGTACTAATTTATGAGCATGTAATCTGTTTAGGCTTTTATTTATGTGGATTTAGGGGTACGCACTAGAAAAAATTAAACTATTTATATTAAACTAATGATAATTTATTTCATTGATATTTTGATTTTGATTTAAGTACCACTATGTATTTAACACCAGTATATTACACGAATTAAAACAACGTGTACAAATTGCAATTCAAATAAATATAATGACTAATTATAATGTAAATTTATGAAATAAGTGACTTAGCGATTATCATTTTCAATAACCAGTAATGCTAAGGTTTCATACATGTTGAAGTACATACGAGAAGGTACTTAGGTAAGTACACAAATACAATATTGCAACATATATTAAATGATAAATTATTTATAAATAAATAATAGTCAATAATTAATAATTTATTTTACAATTAAGTTGATAAAAATTAAAAGTGATAAAGCAAAAATGATAAGACATTTTATTATTTAAAAAACGGTTCAGATATTATAATAAGAATTTATTATTTATTTATGAAAATATTATTGTATACCTATTTTAAATAATGGGCTAACAAATTCTGTTGTTTTACTTACATAATAAAATTACTGAATTGATACTTTATGACAATATTTTTAAAAGATGTATTAAGTTGTTTTAATCGATATTATATAATGTAAATTAATTAAATATATGTATTCAAATTCGTTAAATTTGTTTCCACGTTTACTCACCCAAAATGTAGTCAAGTCCATGATTCCTTATTTTAAAAACACAGTAGTGTCTACTGCGATTATATAACGAAGACTGATATTATTGTGAATCCATCCGGACTATAAAGTTCCCTTCCATCCTCATAATAGCAAAGGTCATCGATCTTTAAAATAAAATTTACGATTACCTCGTGTGCAGTTTAGGCCTATGCCATAATCTGGTCTAACGTGTTATGCCACACGAAACTGCATGCCTATTAATGACATGCGCTCAAGTTCAAGATGATAATCATCCAAAGCGTACTTCGCCAGCTGGAGGTCAGAGTGTCAATTTATAATAATAAACATGTTTGTCCGAAAATCGAATTCAATGCGACAGTTGACGACAATATACTAAAAAACTTGAATTCTGGTTAATTGTGTAGATCAGTGTGGTCTAACCTTTTGTTGTGGTCTGGCCAATGTACACATTTATAAACGCTAGAGGCTAATAAATAATTAAAAAAACTATTCGTATTTCGTTTTATAACAAATATTAATATTACACTCAAGTTGTCACGTTATAGAATACGTATAGATTTCCACTGCCGCCGCACGATCTCCCACCGCCTAGTTTTATTTTTTTTAATATATCACACTTATAAACACTGAAATTATTAAATGTATATACTTACTACATATTATGTCTTCTAAGGAGGGCCGAGGATTTGACGGTCTCGGATTTGTGAATCATAATTTAATTATTTGTGGTTAACATATTCAATAATGTACTTAGTTAATTTTTGGGAGTAGGTACGATTACAAGCTCCGTCAAATTGTTTATACTTCTAAAATATAGCTCGGCTGTATGTTATAATGTCTATACACCAGCAAGATTAGGCATCTTTTGACCTGATATTTACTAATATTTCTTAGTAAACAGATGCGAAAAAAACGTATTAAACAAAACAACAGCTTTTTTCGCAAAATATACGAAACAGCTAAATAAATAAATAAAATAAAAATAAAAAAACAATCACTTATATAAGATGAATAAAAACCAAAATACATTAATTAATACAAACAATTAAACAAAAATTAAATTGGTCTAGAATTTGGCATACAATGCCCTTCCTTTATATGTCACAGACGTCTTGGATTTACCGATGGAAAAAAGCTAAACTGCCAGTGAAGAGAATATTTAAAAAACACAGATGTGAACTTCACATATTATGTCATCCTGCAAATGTCCAACAGCTGACAGTTCAGGCCCTGATCCCACCAATGAATAAAATACAATTTAGTTTTTTCTTTTAATATCCAAGTAACTACCTTTCTGATATAATACTATAATGATCACAAATTATACATTCTAAACACCAACGTGTCTACAATAATATTACAATAGATATTAAGATTGTCATACTACTTGTTCACATAATATATAAATGTTTTGTGAATAAACAGCCCATTTCCTACTACAATTACTTAATTTTGCATGATTTAAAATTCAATCTTGTTATAATAAATTATATTTATTTTTGTCATTTAAATTTTAAGTACAATTTGGCAATAATACACTAACAATGTATTATACCTAATGACAATATTCACGTAACGCTAATGGCATAGTCTCGATGCAAAATAATTATAAAACAAAAAAAAAACAAAAAATATTTAAAAATATTTAGACAGGTACCCATTACTTAAATTATTATATCATTACAAAAACCAGGCAAGATTTGGCGTTTTATTTCACCGGCCTCGAGTATAAATTAAATAATATAATATTACAATCGGTGTTCCAATTTGAACATATAACTATTATCACAAATGTGCCCAAGTCGTAGGTAGTAAATTCGGTGTTTACAATAATTTCACTAGTGTCGCATTGTTTTGATTTCGGCCACTCTGTAAACTCCCAGTTCGGGCGCATACTTTGCCACATAGGCTTTTGTGAGCTTGTGAACAGGTGTCAGGTTTATCGTCGGCGTCACGTCCAGTGATATAGCAGTGGCGCTGGGTTCCGCAATCGCTGTAGCATTTTCGCCTACAACCGCTGTGCCTATAGGTCCAGCTCCGGCTCGGCCACCGATTCCGGCGAACGCGATACCCTGTGGCTGAGCCGCTGCTACCGTCGGACCTATATTGTACACACACGAAACACATTTTAATTTCGCAAATCAAAGAGATTGTAAGTTATGGCCATTTTTAGCTTAATGTAGGTACACGAAATAGATACGATGTATTGCGCCGCATGATGTATTGTACATTGTACTCAATACGATAATATTGTGTATTATGTAGAAAATAATAAAAATCAAACTATTAAGTCCTCGAGTTACCCCCCCCCCCTCCCACTCCCCGCCCATTTTGTTAGAATGTCAGCAACACTTGAATCTATACTTCAAATTTTAAACTTTATCTTAAACTGTGTACGATCTTACAGAGCAACAACATGTGCTGTTCAGCAAGTTTTAAAAAACAATGTTTGATGCCAGTGTATAATGCCATAAAAAAACTGACATCAGATTGTTGCATGAAAAGTAGAAATTGGTTAAATGGTTCAAATACTGTTTAAGCAAAATAAATACATTTTTTTTTTATTAACCAATAATTTTGTATTTCACATTGAAAAAAGTAGTTTTAAAATACAAGGATATTTTCGAAATATGTATTATTTGACAATAAATTCGTATTTTAACTCAGCTTCTATATAATAATAGTATTATGTGCATCAAATCGGCTCATTATGTTACTATTATATTCATATTGATTTCAAACAACATTGATTATATAAAATAAAATTATAAAATTGTATTTGAATTGGAAAATTGTATAAAATAAATTCAGTCGGGTCATAGCTCCAAATTAGTTCGAACCTGTGGCTACTTTAGATTGTTGTTGCTGTTGGCCTTCGGCATTGACTTGGAGTCCGGTCACATTCGAATCTACGACCACAGATGATTCGTCTTTCTGGGGTTGTTGGTCATATTGTTGGAATGGTTCCGGTTGTTGTTGGAATGGTTGATCTTGTTGTTGCTGTTGGAATTGTCCTTGTTGGTATTGTCCCTGTAAGTGTTGCTTCTGGAACTGCAAATATCTCTGGTAAGCTTGTGCTGCGGTACCTTGGTTGGCCTGTGGGGCCTGGTAGTATTTTTGATCAGCAAACTATTAAAATAAAAGCAATTTGTCAATAATAGTCACACAATAGGTATATAGGTAATGCATAATAATTAGTAATAAAATAGTTTTTTTGGCAATAATAGAGAAATGTAAATGTAAATTTTTGAGACACCGTAAAAACCGTGTAATTGTGTTGGTGTGAACTTTATGTTTAAATTCATTATAATATAACTATATGTCTATAGCACTCTGCATAGACTGTATTATTTACAATTAATTAATTTTTTTTTCTGGAAATTATCTAAAAGCTTAGTTGAAGAGACATCTATGGGCGGGGTGAGCTGTGCATGACTTAACAATATTTATGTTCCATTACCGGTTGTGGTTGATGTTGGAACACAGCTTGAATATTTTTGGGGAAAAGGAAACTGGAAACTGCGCCATTGTTAGCTGCATTCAACTTTGCTGGGTCATACACTGCTTGTTGATAAGGTGCTTGTCCGTAGAATTGTGGTTGACCGAAGTACGGAAGAGGATAAGCAGCGAACTGTTTGGTCGGTGATTGAGAGGGTTGTTCGTCGCTAGCGACTTCTCCTGATTTGGGTCCTTCTGCTGCAGCTGGCTTTTCACCTTTTGTCGGACTTTCGGCTCCGGCTACGAATAAAAAACATGCATATATTGAATTTTGTGTTTCGTTTATTTTTTGTATTTTATTGCCTTACGTGATTGATTTTCAGCACCGGCAGTCGCTCCTTCAGCTGCTGGAGACGGTTGAACTCCGGTTGTGCCGTAAGGGAAATTCGGAACGTAGCTCCAGATGCTTGCTAAGTATTCTCCCCAACCGCCTGGACTTCCAGATCCTTCAGATCCAGAGGCTCCAGTGGCTCCAGAGGCTCCATCATTTTGAACGTAAGAATATGGGTACTGCTGAGCTTGAGCATAGGGAGCTGGGTAAGGAGCATATCCGTAATAATAAGGGTTGTAGGCAGGACTAGCTCTGGAAAAAAAAGACACGAAAAACATTTAGTTCACCATATGAAATGTTTTAATTTATTTTATCTGACGTTTTTTTTGAACTTCTGTATTCATTATATACATTTGAGAATATGATTTATATTTATTTGATGTTTGAAAATTGCTATTTTGTTTACATGTGAAATTACTTGACAGTTTATTTGCAAATGTACATAATATAAAAATTAAATTCTAATAATGAGTACCTATTTATAAGACACAACAATTCTACACTATATCGTTATTAAAATGTCCCTACAAAAAACTAGGTACAGTTTTTACATTTTTTTACAATATGTACATTATGGTTGCCGTTGTCTAGTGTTTGAAAATATTACACTTACGGTACGAAGACTTGTCGGTAGCTTGCAGGGGCTGGATACGCCGCTGCCGGGTATGAGGCGGCTGCTACATAGGCGGGATGCACACTGTATTTCGGTTGTGCAGAGTAAAATTGGGGGTAAACATTTGGATATGCTGCCGGGTACGGTTGAGGGTAGTATGGCACAGCCGTATTTGGTGAGACCTTGCACTGAACACTGACTGCCAGCAGGCAAGATAGAGTAATAAACTGCAAAACATTAATACAACATTACACATTAATCATAATAATAGACGTTACGAGCTATTTGTTTAGGTGTGCCTATTAGTTTTAAACTATATTTTGATTTTATCACGTTTGACCGTGTGTTAAAAATAATAAAATCGACCGCAGTTTCTAGAAATTTACATATCACTGTAATATAGCAAGAGATATTATAATTCGGTTCAGTTGACGAAAAAATTATTAGCCTCATAATATTTCAAGAGTGCCTATCTGCCATCCTTCGTATTTATAGAGCATTAAATCCATGTCAAGCTGATTTCAGTCATTGCGTATCGAGAGACTTATAATTGATGTATGTAACAATATTATTAGCTTCTATACGCTATACCTGTTGATACCTGGTATCATTACAACAAGAACTGAAGTTATGCAAGACTTTAATTACACGTGGAATACTCTGCACGGCATCCTAGATTTCATTCACTTCTTTCGTCCCGGACACGGTGACAAACAATGTAGGTATCGAATGGAAAATTATTTTTTTTTAACAATAGATACCTACATCGGACTATAATTTTGATTTTGTCAGAACAAGATTGGATATGTATAAAGTATATCGGATCATGTAAGTACTATACGTTAATTATTGGCTATAACTATTTTGAACCATATCCCATTCGTAGGCAGTGTTAGGACTTATCTAGATGAAAATTCCATTATCTATTATCTTATCTAGATTAAAATCTACTGGTCATCTATTTTTTTATCTTAGATGAAAACTTCAGTTATCTATATCAATTTATCTAGATAATTTTTATACATAGGTATTTTTTATTATTTTCGTATACAAGTATACATTTTTACATTTTTGTTCAAAATAAAATAGCAATATAATGTAACAGCATAGGTATGTAGTACAAATTTAAAGCAGTCACAAAGTATAAAATATATCTTGAATCTAATAGTTAATGGTCGTTGGCTGTTGTGTTATTTCCGTATATTAATTTAATGTTTCTGCAGGTTATTACTTATTACTTATTAGTTATTTCTGATCGACCGTGGCGATGTCCCATACTCCCGGGATTACCCGTAAAAACATACGGGTCTGTTTCGTACAAGACCCGCTTGCGTCAAGCACTACTGCAGTTATAAATAGAGTCTAATCTAATATATATGATTATATATATATAAATATATTATACATTATATATAATATATATTATGATAAACAAATAATATCCATCTATACATTTTATTGTTCTGTAATAATAATATACACAAATACACTACAGTTAACATAATAATATGATTATACCTACTTCAGAGTTTTGATTATCAGAACATTTAGAACGACAAAACACTGTCACAGTTTATTATTATAAAAGTATACAATGCGGACAGTAATAATTGTCGTCAATTGTGATTGTCTAGTGTTCTAGTTGTTTATACCTATTATTTTTATTTCGGTTTTTGACTAGCTATATTTAAGTATGAAGCGATTTTTAACTACAACATATTATATGGATGATTCTAAAAAATCCAGAAGTGTATCAACAGCAATTGATTTAGCTCAAGTAACTATAGACGACCCAGGTCAGTTCGATGACGCTCGTCCCCGGTCCCCCACATTAAAATATTTCTGGATATGCCACTGAATAGTTATTGCCGAGTATGAAAAAAAACAGCAAAAAAATATTTATCTATTTTTTTTTATCTAGATAAATCACATTTATCTATTATCTTTATCTAGATACTTTAATTTTTTTTATCTATTATCTTTATCTAGATAAATTCCTACCAATAATCTATTATCTTTATCATAATATTTTAGTTATCTATTCCCAACACTGTTCGTAGGCCATTATATACGCGTTTATTGGCAAATGTTCACTTGATTCAATATTTATTATTACTTGATTTTTAGGTATTAAAACGTTGTTATGTCAAACAGAATGAATTTTTACATGAAAAATTGATTTAACGATGATTTTAGAAGATATATTTTATTATATGGCTACAAGTTTCTAAGTGATCGTTTCGAATAAAATATGCACTAACACATAAATAAAACACTTTTTATAACTATCGACGACTACAACGACTTAAAATGTCTAAATATTTTTATCTGTTCATATAGACGTATATGATTCTAAAAGTACAATTTATTATAATATATTAACAGTCAGGTAAGTGTCTTAACTTTAAGTATAAAATATACATTGCATTATGCATTTTATTTTAAAAATTATTATTTTCGATAAGAACAAATAAATAACAATTTAACATTATTTTGCATTTAAAGTAAAAATACTTATAACATTAAAATATTTTTTATTATAATATAAGAGTAATTCAACTATAGGTTATGATTGAAATCCGAACATTATTTACAAATGAATAAATAACGAATGACACGAAGCACTTCTATATTTGCATGTAAAAAAATGTTTGGATTTTGGTTCGTTGATCTGACAAAATGAAACGGGTTTTTTTTTCTAACACAACTAAATGGTAAATTAATGAGGGTCATGATTATTATACATGTTGGGCGTAAATTATATTATACTAATACCTATTACATGCATTAATCTTGAACTAATTAAAAATTCGAGGTTAAGAAAGGTTATTGCCACTATGCTCCCAATTAAAGCTTCCTAAAATATCGTCTTCAATTAGACAAGATTTTACATTTCAAATTTTAAGACTTGAATTAATTAATTAATCTAATGGAAATTTGACATAGGTACCTATATTATACTTGAACGCTTATTCATAAAATGTATTAGGGTATAAAATAATATTCTGGAAAATTCTTGTATTCTTTTTTAATGTATACCTACTTTAAATACATTATTATGCTACGCCTGTATACAAAAAATGTAACTCGACATTATAAAATGTTATTATACTTGCTTAACAAGTACCTATGGTTAGATTAATTTTATGTTTAAAACTTTAAACTATAAGCGAGTTCCTACACAATATAGGTAAAACACTGGTTAAAAGGCAGTCAATTACTAAACCTATCAGAACAAAGTGATTTGTATTTAAACGTCTTAATTTATTAACATGAACCGTTGAGCTTCAAATAAATGGTTTAACTTTTGAAACTACGAATATTATTAATGAAATGTACGAATGAATATCTTATTGTTGCAAGTAAAAACACTTAATACCTACGATAATTGAATTATTATAACACCGTCGACAATATAAAAAACTTCAATTACGTTGAAAATAGTTATAATATTTTTTCGAATGTTTGTAAAATAGTAAATATCAAAATGACTACAATAATGCTTACCTTGAACATGATTGCAGACTTGAGAAGACCAGTTCAGTGAAGTGTACGAGGAACGTCTACATGCAAGGCTTATAAAGGAGTTCGACTCCCTACCATCGGGCTGAGGTAATTGCCCAACGATTCGCTCCGGTAAAACTAAGCTAAGGACTTACGGTAGGTATGGATAGAAATGAAAAAATTATAGATTCTTGACATGAACTCCGTCAAAGTGTAAAATCGATAACTGTTTGAATTATATATTATACATATATATATATTAAGAACCGTAACAATATACGACATTGTTTTAATACAATAAAAAAATTATGTATAGCTTCAACTAATTCGCAGAATACAACCTATTGATTCGTTTTTTTTTCTGGCAATCAATCATATTCGGTACACTCTCATACAAATTAATTAACCAATAATTAATAATCGTTAAATCACGATAACCAAATATTTTATATTTTAACATACCATAATATTGAATCATTTTAATGCATCATTTATGTACTAATACTTTAAGCACTTAACAAATTATATTCCTGTACCGTTGACTACTGGATGGGTCGAACTCAAAGCATTATAGTTCAAATTATTCGAAATGTGTTGTAATGAAATATTCACATACTTAATACTTAATCAACACAGGGGAGTTTTTATACAAAATTACAATGATTCGAGTACACTGTACTTATGTTATATTTACCATTGTTTTATATGAAAACATATTATTACATTATATCGAATAGTAATGCAATATTATTGCTGAGTATAACAACAAATGGTAATCAATTGTGAAATAAATGATAATAACAAATACTTTATTGTGTTTTGACTATTGATATGATTGGTGTAAAGGACTTTGATTTTATTAATGGTTACCTAGCCAAGAATCATCCACCTATCACACAAGATAAATAATTATTATGTGATCCACAATGGTGTATATTGTGCTATAAGACTTTCTACATTATAATTGAAATAAATTATTAATTGTTGTCAAATACTTTGCAATTAATTACATACTAGCTGTATATACTTACATAAAATATAGAACGAAATGTATAGGCAGTAAATAAGCTATATTTTATACGAACGGTACATGAATGTGTCGTATAAACAATTGCTATGTTCCTATCTCTATTAGTAAGTACAATTATTTTTAATAAGCACCTGTAGGCCAAAAGTATAGGCATACCCTTATGCAAATGTGAATAAAAAGTGTTTTGTATTACAATATACAGTGATTAGAGTACTTGTCAAACGTCATTTGTCAATGAAATTAAAATATATATTAGCAAAACGATATTTGACCTAATATTATATAAATTGTACACTCATTCCCATTGTTTGATTTGAGGATTACATATTTACAAATCAATTGTTGTACTCCAATCGGAGTGTAAAAAGAATCTCAATAATACAAAATATAAAATGATATAATATGTGGGTTTTTATTTACTTAACAGCTTTAAAATAATTTTCAATGTAAGCAAATGTTAACGTTCATTTACAATTAAAATTATATGCCATAATGTACTGTTATAGTATAGGTAGTACCTAATGGTAGTAAAATATTTATTTACGGTTAAGAAAATACTTTTATTTACAGTTTAACTATTTATATAGCTGTATACCATACACAGTATTTACTATTTATGTTTGTGTTTATCGACATTATTATTCTTATTCTACTAATTCATATCATTATAGTTTAAGCCACGCTATCTTAAAAACGTAACAATTAACCGCAAAGTACGAAGATTCAACACTTTTTTCGATGTATAAATTAATGATGATGAGCAAGTATTTTACTTCATTAAAATATCGTGGATAGGTTATGCTATATTACTATATAACTATTACTATATTGGTATAAGTGCCTATAGTATATTAAATATTAATAGTGATAAATAAGGTTTTGAATTCGCGTCAAATCGTTTAGTTAAGTTCGCGAGAAGAAGATTTTTCGTTTTTGTCCTTTGTGAGCTCTAATAAATATTTTTAATTTTAACTGTTTTCCTTTGAAACCTGGCATTCGTGTTCATTTATAATTAGTACGTTGTCAACATAATGACGAAAGTTGCTAGCTAGACATGTATTTATTATACACTGTTTTCATAGTCTATAATTTACAATTATTATTATTTTTTATTTCTATTTTACTTTTATCCAATCGAAATTCTAATGCTGAATTTTGAGGAACCATACGAATAATATAATATGGCTAGTATAATGAACATTATTACCAATAATATGTTCTATAATAATTATACGTTTATTTATTATATAATTTATGGGCACAACTTTATTTATATTTTACAGCACAAATATCAGGTAGAGCAACATTTGACAAAATTAATAATAGTTTTTAACAGGAGAAACAATCGAAACCAAAAAAATTAATGAAAACAAAGTAACTAGGTACCGACGACGTTGTATTAAAAAAAAAAAAAAAACAACCACTGTTTGTTGACATGATTATTGGTTCACAAAGGTACAGATATTCTCACGGTGTTATATTATGATGTTGACATTTATTTTATCCGGTGTGCATACATATACAATACGATTATCGGATTTATATTTAATGGGTTTAAGGGGGACATGTACCCGTTGAACGTTGCATGAGTTTATAACATCGTGGCGGTCAAGAACACATAATATTGAATTATAATATTACTCGTACCGCAAAGTTATTTACTCGATATTCGCGCGTAGGCTCGCTTTACATGCACTTCCAGAGAACCGGTCTAATAAACGATAAATTAACCTAACCGAACGAGTATTCATATCTATACGAAAAAAAAATATATAATAATATTAATAAATTATATATATAAAAAAAAAACGTTAACTTTGGGCCGTTGACCCTGGCCGAGAACTTCAAATGATATCGTATTCCAAAATCACTCGGCCCTCCTGTCCGATGGACATACTCATTCTGGATAAATATCGCATTGTAATTTATTATACGGTTTAAATTTCTTTCTCCCACACACACACACACACACACACACACACATTTGGAAATTCAGATTTCATAACGCATTATTCGAAGTTATGATATTGCCTACGAGAGAGATAAGTAATAGACTTATTATAGTCATCTTTTCGAATATTTTTTACTCTCGCCCGCCAAGGCCAAGGTTGTCTATTATAATGTTATTATTTTTTCATCCTTTATACGATTTTTAATGCATAATAATATAAATATTGATGAAAAAAATAAGGCACGTAAGAATTTTCTCTTGCGGTGATAATATTTTGTCACCGAATGGACTGAGATTTAATCACTTATTATTATTATTATCCTGTGGATTCCAGTATAAATTATCATACTACAATACAGATTTTGTGTAGGCATTCAATGATTTATCATGTGGAGATATTTAAGCAGTTCATCTACCCTGCAAATGTTTTAATACTAAAAATAGGTAAGTACTCAGAATGTTAACAATTTAGTGAATCTAATATCTTTATTTCTACGTTAAATTCTTGTCTACTCATAATATTTTTGATATTTGAAGAAATTGTTACGCACAACAATGCTCGGTTCATTAAGAATGATGAATTAAATGGGAGCGGCTCTGGCGTGAACGGTCTTTTTATTTTTAAATGTAATACTTTTTAAGTTTGTAAGTTTTGTACAAAACAAAAATACAATTTTTAATTCGATACCTAAATTCGAAATATCTCATATTAAAATCTATAATGCTATGAATATATATGTTTGTTGAATACGGAGATAACAAACTTTATTCATCATTTATTCCAGTATGAAAATATTGAAATTTATCAGAGTAGGTTATGTGAAGTAGTATAAAAATCTTAATTTCCTTATTAAAAATAACTAGTACCTGTTACTTAATTTACTTGCACATTGTAAGTATAATTTAAATGAAATAAAAAAAATTACTTACTTTTAGGTATCTAATGTATAATGTATAATATACTATAATATTATACAAATTGAAATTTATTAGTTCTTCAACACAAATACCCTGAAAATGTAATATGCACGGAACATGTTATCTAAACGTAAAAATATGCACCTGATTTAGTTTTTATTATTTTTAAATTTGCATGTTTTTACATAAACAATTATAATAAGTTAATTTTAAATATATGGGTACACTTTAAATATACAATATCAATATGATTTGAATTGTTCAACTGCTACGATAAAGGGGTGGGACAAGTCATAACATATATTGCCAATGGCCAACGATAAGTCAGGTCTGTATGGATTGTTCAAAAGTATATATTATATATCTAGACATTTTATCGTTTGTGTTCCGTTCGAACTATTTAGTATAATATTATATATCACAATAGGCGTCCATCGTGGCCACGATAAAAATCTCGGAAACACAGACATTTTACGGTCAGACGAGACTAGATTTCATTAATTTAATGGCCTGACGACTGCAGCAGGATTATAAATTGTTCTGGTGAATGCGGTTTCCTCGTTAACGCATCTGCCATATGGTAGGCCACAAACTGCACAATGACATCGGAAAACTACACTCGACGTATAGATTATCGGCTGGAACGACGTGGTTTACCCCAAGACGAGAGTTCCTCGAGTCGTAGAAACTTTTTTACGGATTACAGGGCTACTCGAGGGCATTCAGAACAATAGGGGGAAATATTGCGGTGCGCTTTACCTACATTAATTTTTTTTTTTTTTTTCATATCTCTTCAATAATGCTCGCGCAAATATTATTCCCTCCGACGTTGCACACGAGCATAATACCCACGATGCCGATGGTGGTATACATGGTTTGCATAATGCAGTTAGCATAAATTCGAAAGGTCTTCGACCTGAATCCCACCACCGCGGTAGGGCGTACCGAACAATCTGGTTTATTCGACGTAGGTACACCGTGTCTGTTCCAACTTTTTTTTAAATTTTTTTTTTTTTTTACATACGGCTTTACATTTCATTCTGGCCACTTATGGATGCGACATATATTTGTTGAATGGGTGAGCCAAGCCAATAAGCTTTATCGATGCCAGACGACCTACACGAACCTTTTTAAATTGACACACGTCGATTGTTTCCCATCCATACAACGAAAAAAAAAAAACAACTTCAAGACGCATTTTGATTAAATAAACGCGAAGATTTGAGAAAATAT